GTTGTTTTTAAGAAAAAATATGTAATTTGCAATTAACAATTCCATATTTTTTCTTAAAAACAACGGTATGTTTTCTTTACACCAATTAATTCCTCTCATTATTTTGTGCATAAAAGTATTAAGATAATGGAACCCCCCATTTTTCATTGCATATTCTTGTAGCTTACCTCGAGAGCTTTCCAAAACACTATAATAAATTATTTATCCAGGAAGTATTTTTCGAATTGTGAGGCTTGAAATCATTTCTTAATTTTACATAAATCATAAATATCTTGTAAAATATTCATTTTTCGATTATCTTATCTTAATACTTTTATGTACAAAATATTGAGAGAAATCAATTGGTGTAAAGAAAACGTACAGTTGTTTTTAAGAAAAAATATATAATTTGCAATTAACAATTCCATATTTTTTCTTAAAAACAACGGTATGTTTTCTTTACACCAATTAATTCCTCTCATTATTTTGTGCATAAAAGTATTAAGATAATGGAACCCCCCATTTTTCATTGCATATTCTTGTAGCTTACCTCGAGAGCTTTCCAAAACATTATAATAAATTATTTATCCAGGAAGTATTTTTCGAATTGTGAGGCTTGAAATCATTTCTTAATTTTACATAAATCATAAATATCTTGTAAAATATTCATTTTTCGATTATCTTATCTTAATACTTTTATGTACAAAATATTGAGAGAAATCAATTGGTGTAAAGAAAACGTACAGTTGTTTTTAAGAAAAAATATATAATTTGCAATTAACAATTCCATATTTTTTCTTAAAAACAACGGTATGTTTTCTTTACACCAATTAATTCCTCTCATTATTTTGTGCATAAAAGTATTAAGATAATGGAACCCCCCATTTTTCATTGCATATTCTTGTAGCTTACCTCGAGAGCTTTCCAAAACATTATAATAAATTATTTATCCAGGAAGTATTTTTCGAATTGTGAGGCTTGAAATCATTTCTTAATTTTACATAAATCATAAATATCTTGTAAAATATTCATTTTTCGATTATCTTATCTTAATACTTTTATGTACAAAATATTGAGAGAAATCAATTGGTGTAAAGAAAACGTACAGTTGTTTTTAAGAAAAAATATATAATTTGCAATTAACAATTCCATATTTTTTCTTAAAAACAACGGTATGTTTTCTTTACACCAATTAATTCCTCTCATTATTTTGTGCATAAAAGTATTAAGATAATGGAACCCCCCATTTTTCATTGCATATTCTTGTAGCTTACCTCGAGAGCTTTCCAAAACACTATAATAAATTATTTATCCAGGAAGTATTTTTCGAATTGTGAGGCTTGAAATCATTTCTTAATTTTACATAAATCATAAAATATCTTGTAAAATATTCATTTTTCGATTATCTTATCTTAATACTTTTATGTACAAAATAATGAGAGAAATCAAATGGTGTAAAGAAAACATACAGTTGTTTTTAAGAAAAAATATGTAATTTGCAATTAACAATTCCATATTTTTTCTTAAAAACAACGGTACGTTTTCTTTACAATTGATACCTCTCATTATTTTGTGCATAAAAGTATTAAGATAATTGAAAAATGAATATTTTACAAGATATTTTATGATTTATGTAAAATTAAGAAATGATTTCAAGCTTCACAATTCGAAAAGTACTTCCTGGAAAAATAATTTATTATAGTTATAATTTATTATATAATTTATTATAATAATTTATTATAATAATTTATTATATAATTTATTATAATAATTTATTATAGTTTTGGAAAGCTCTCGAGGTAAGTTACAAGAATATGCAATGAAAAATGGGGAGTTCTATTTAAAAAATTGAAGCTGATCTTCACATAACCTTGACAACGCTATTCGAGGTCATAATAATGTTGCTGTGTAATGTGTTACGTAAAACCCTATAACTTTTGTATGAAACATTTTTTTAAAAAATGCGTATTTTTCGAAATATTAAGGGGTATCCACAATTTTCCCAACCCTGTATATGCCCACCTAACATATGCGCGCGCGAACACACACACACACACACACACACACACTCGGAAGAGAGCGAGATATCTAACGCTGCATCGTAAAGCGTGCTAAATAAACTGAACTCAACAAACGAGCGAAACTCAAACGAGGTGGAGACGCGACGGTCGTTTCAGGTATCGCTGAGGGGATGGGGGGGTGGAGGAGAAAGATGGGAATGGTTTGAAAGTCGTAAAACTGTGTCGCGAATGCAATGCGGAGATTCGTCGGTTCGGTTCCTAGAACGAGAGAGGAGGCGAGTAGGGCCAACGGATGGGGAGGTGGGGACCGAGAGGGTTGAAGTGGCAGAGAGAGAGAGGAGAAAATGAATGGTCGAATGGGATGTATATATTTCACCCAACTTTCCCCGACTAATCCGCCGAGCTTTATGAAACTCTTCTCGAGGCGAGAGCATAAATTTCACGCGGAGGATGATTCCGTTGTTCTTGTCTCACAGACGAGTCCTCCGAATCGCGAGTCATGCGGAAGGAACGACCCCGTGTTTCCCGTTGCGCGCATTTGCGTGGCATTACTTTGGATTCGAGAGCACGCTTCAGGTGTCGAGAAGAAAGTGTCCGCGAGATCTCAAGGGGGAGAGAGAGATTCATCTCCCCCTTTACTTTACGAAAACATCTCTCTATTCATCAATGATCTAGTAGCAGTACATTTCGCGATATGATCAATTCTAGGGTTGCACAAGACCCAAGACAAGACAATATATATTCGTAAAAATATTGTATTGAAAAACTTTTAAAAATTTAAATCTTGTCTTGGTCTCGAGTGAATATCGGTAGCAAAAATCTTGTCTTGTATTGTCTTGTCTCGATTTTATTAACAATTTTTTATCTAATATTAAAAAATTATTTAAATAATATTTAACAATTTTTGTGATATAATTTGAAATAATTATTACTATTGTATTATATTTTAATTATAATTATTACTATGTAATCGATATAAATGCCGTCTATTTATTTAAAAAAACATTTACCGTTTTATGGAAAACAGAAATTAATAACTATTTACAGGCTCCAAGGGAATGTGCAGATATAAATATTTTGGAGTGGTAAAAAATTCAGGTTCATATTTATCCCACATTGTCAAAAATGGCTCGAGACATTTTAAGTTCAACTGTCTCGTCCGTGACAGTAGAAAGACTTTCCTCAATAGAAACTCTGTCTATGTCAAAAAATAGAACCAGATTACAAAGTAAATCTTTAAAAGCACTAATGTGCATCAATTCCTGGGTGAAATACTCTTTAACGTCTAAAATTTGCGAGTTTGATTTCTAATTTATAAAAATGTTATATTGTATTAATATTAAATGTTTTTAAATTTATCAATATGAATGTTTTTATTGAATAAAATTTTTTTAAATTCGTATATAGTGATGCTTTTTCATTTACAAATCTAAACATTTTAGTTTTTTTGAGAACCAATAATCTTGACAAGACTAATAATTTTGACAGTCTTAGTCTTGGTACTGTCTTGATAACTAATTAAAAATCTCGTCTTGATCTTGTCTCGAAATTCAAGACAAGACAAGACAATATCAAGATTAATCTTGATATATCGTGCAACCCTAATCAATCCATACCGGTTCGAGAGGTCTCGAATTAAAGGAGAAGAGATTCCTCGCATAATTCCCACCTGTATGCAACGCGATTTGTTTCTTTATCGTCGGCGAGAAGCGCAAGAAGCAGGCAAGGATGGCTTTCACAACAAAATCGAGATGAAAAAAAAAAAAAGAAAATAAGGAGAGAGGAAGGTGAGAGATCAACGGCGGGGGGGGGGGATGATTAATTTAGCGTGTAAGTAGACAACAGGGATATGTGTGATATACAAAGGCGATGTGTAACGCAATAGAAATCAGTGCGAAACGGAGAAGGAAACGGAAGAGACGAGCGAGAACGACAATTAATGTTCTCTGACAGTTAATGGACGATTTGTAATGTTAGCTCAATCCAAAGTCCGAGAACGCTTATACAGAGCACGTTTAAAGGAAATAGAAGATGATGACGTAGATAGAAATATGTAAGTATATAGATATAGATAAAGATATAAATATATATATATATATATATAAAATATACATATATATATATGTATACACAAGAACGAAGAGAAAAATCAACTCAACAAACGAGAAAACAATATTTCGCGTGGAACGTTCGTGTCGACGTTGTTCTACTGGTAATGTCATTCGTGCGAGCTTCGAATTACAGTCCCCCTGGGGGGATCTATCTAGTCGGACTAAAAGTATCCTCCCCATATGTCCGACGGGAGAAAAAATATAGCTATAGGAGTATAATTTGAGTGATCGAAATGATTAAATGATAATGTTACTTCTCGTCGTGCCTCCGACGCACAAGTATCGATCGTAATAAAATATCAATTCCGTTGTGCAAAAGCTCATAGGATAAAGAACGTCGATTGCGCGAGATCGTTATCGTCTTATTATTGCCGGCGAAAAAAAAAAGTTGTCCTTCGCGCCATTATCACGAAATTGCGCATTAAGGAATTGCCACATTTTTCCACGTCATTAGGAGAAAATTGCACGGGTGTGTTTGCGGAGCGGGGGTACACACACTCGCGTCCCCAGCAGAAAAACGCGTCACGAGGCGCATCCGCGCGACGAAAAAAACGAAAAAAACGAAAGGAAAAAACGAAAAAGAAAAAGACAAAAAAACGGAAACGAAAACGAAACGAAACCGAAACGCAACAGAGAGAGAGAGAGAGAGAGAAAGAGAGAGAGAACACTGGCGTAGAGTAAAACGAAAAATCAACACGAAGGAGTTAAGAGATATATCATATATATATCGCAATAAAAGAATTAAAAAAAAAAAGGAAAAAAAAAAAAACAGATCTCTCGTGTTTCAATTTTTTTTTTTTTTTCTTTTGGGTTACTCTTGGCACGCACGAAAAGAAGAAAAAAATCTTGGCTCTTCAAAAGTAAGTCGTCGGCTCTCACGGGGACTTACCATTCTTTTTTTGGACAACGACTTTGGCGGCGACTTTACGGGGGTTGCCGAACGATCGGAGATTTTGAGTGGTAGTAGTAGAAGTAGTAGTAGAAGTAGTAGAGGTAGTAGTAGCATAGTGTCGTGCCGAGATAGGAGGAGTCCAAGGCCAGTGTGATTGATACAAATATAATAGAGAAGGAGTACGATAAAAGACAGTCAGTGCAACTTCGGGGGGGGGGGTGTTGTTGGGGGGTTGGGGGGGCCAGAGGGGGTTGCTCGGGGGGGGGGTGTGGGCGGCGCGTATATGTCTCGCAATAATTAAAGAAGGCGAAACGAGGCTGACGGGAAGGAAAGAGGGGGACCGTATTCTTATTGATCGAAACACCGGGACGATTCTCTACTTGAAATCTTTTTTTTTTTTTTCTTTTCTTTTCTTTTCTTTTCCCTTGTTCTTCTTCTTTTCTCGATCAAAACGACCTAGCCGCAAGATAGGGAGGAGATATTCTCTCGCGAGCGAATTCTTTTCGGGTGAGACGTGAAAAGGGGTCGAGGAGGGAAGGGGGGGCGGTCGGGGAGAGGGGCTGCTTGACTTTCTTTCGGTGATTGGACCCGGTCCGATGGATGGATGCTATTAAGAATCGCGGTCGTCCGTTCGATTGACACCGGAGGTGTATCGATCTGACCCCCTTGACTGCGCCGACGAATTAGTTTGCGCCCCTTTTTCGGAAGGTAACGTGAAAAAAGTCACAAAGACCACGAACTCTCTAAAAGTGAATCAGTGAAAACATCACTAATTTAAACAGTAAAATAAGATTTCACTGAGAATCAGTGAGTATTTTACTGATCTTCAATGGAAACGCTTATTTTTTTGTTATTTTATCTTATATCTCACTGATTATGGTCGGTTAAAATAAAATGCACTGTAAAATCAGTAAATTTTACTGTAAAACCAGTAATCGCTAGTTCGTTCATTTACAATCATTATATCTCTCGTATTTAATTTTAGTTATAAGAATTATATAAAGTTTGCAAAGAGCGACATTTAAAATTAGAAGTATTACTTCGATTTAATTTCTGATACAAGCTCAATAGAGAGGCTTCAGATATTAAATCGTTCTTCATAAGTCGGACAAATAAATGTCTGGCGACTTAATAAAAATTATTTGTTCGTTATCTATTTAAAATAACAAGTTCAATATGTATGTAATATAAATAAAATAAAATTTTTAATATAATAAATATTTAGTAAATATAAATAAAATTTTTAATTTTATATGAAATAGATAGAGAGATGAATTCTAGTTAAATATTACTGACAATAACGAAAGAAATATTACTGATATTGAGAAATATTATTGATTGAAACAGTCAAAATTATTAACTGATTGTTTCAATAAAATATCACTGATTTACAGTGCTGTACTTATAACTTCTGTAATCAGTGACTATTTACTGTTTTTCAGTGATAATACACTGATTCACTTTTAGAGAGAAGCTCCATCCGTCGGTTCCCGGGAAGCTGGTCTTGATCTTCTTACGGTGCCCCGTAGAATTATACATACACATATGACATGTACGAAAAAGAAAGTAAGAAAATAGGCCAGCGGGGAGGCGGGGAGAAAAATTGAAACTGACAATAGAATTCGGACAGTGGTAAAGTGAATCGGAGCGAATGGTAAAATGAATGAAATCGATCTAGAGATATTCTCGAGAGTGACATCGAGAAATAATTAAGACGGGAATCTCCGAATAACGATCTGACCTCATCTTATCCGCTGAGATGCATGCGTGAATGAAAAATGCGTAATGCGCAAGATGGCAGATGACGTGTCCTCGCGATTAGCTTCGAACGTCGGATCGATTCGGAAAGATACGCCATACATTTGCATTTTCTCGTAAAACTCGAAAAGCAGTCGCGCTCCGAAAAAATCGTGCCACTTCAAATGCCATCTTGAACGAAACGTATGGAGACAGGGTGAAGATGCTATGAAATGGATGCAGAAAATCAAAGGCTACCATGGGTGAAGATGTAAAAATTCAGGCTAAGTGCCGTCGAGACACGTCGAATATGTATTACACACATATACATACGTATAATCGGGGAGTAAAAATAAAAATGCCAAAAAGAGAAGAAGAGATACGGAGAGAGAGAGAGAGAGAGAGAGAGAGAGAGAGAGAGAGAGAGAAGATGTGAGAGAAAAAACGAGAAAGAGAGAGAGAGAGAGACAGAGAGAAAGAATCTCGTACCTCGAGAGATCGCAAGTATCATGAAACAGATGGTCAAAGATAAAAAGACAGAAACATATATATATAAAAAAATATAATATATATATAGTATATATATATATACATATATATACACACACATATATATATACATACATGTAGAGATTATAAAGAAACGAAACGGAAACAAGGAAAGAAGAAAAGAAAAAAGAAAAAGAAAAAAAAAACGCAGACACGAATGGTTCTTCTCCCGGAAAGGAAATGTGACACTTCGCGGCCGAAGAGAGACTTAACAAAGAAAAAAAAAAGAGGGAGAGAGAGAGAGAGAGAAAGAGAGACAGAAAGAGATAGAAAGACGAGAAATTCGACATCGAGAGAAACTACTATGAAATAGCTAAAAATTAATGATAATCAATGAAGCTCTTAATCGTGTGACGTCTAAAAGAATCGAGCGGCGTTTCTTACCATCTGTCCGTGCAGCGAGTGAAAATGCAAACAGAAAAAGAATTCAAGATTTGTATCTGGAAGTTCTCTAAGAGAGTGAGATCGTGGTGGGGGGAAAATGATAGAGATATTTCAACAGATCGACTACTCTTCTTCGGCGCGATGTGTGTATATATATATATATATATATATATATATATATATATATATATATATGCATATATTTGGGAAATCGCGCGTCGGGACGCCATCTTTTTTTTTCCCCTTTGAAATTTCCGCTCGAAGAGGTGAAATTTTTATGTAAGAGGTGCGCGAGCATTAGCAGAATCGTGTGAATCCAAGGGGTGTACGAAAATACTCAGTGTACGACGTAGTATTCACAGGTGCTGTCGTATCGATCGATTGCGAAAATAGAGATTGACCGTGATAGATCGATCGTGCGCGTGAGATTCCGACTAAAATCAAATTCATATTAAATTATTCATAATTTAATTATTATATAATTTAATATATATAATTTATGAAATTTAAAATAAAATTCGCATTCCTTCGGAGAATAGCAAAAAATGAGGATCGCGTTAAGGATGTATTGGATGGACCGTCTGTCCCAAAAGTTAATCCAAAGTATCAAAAAATTAAACTTGGGTAGAATACGAATTCTAATTGATCAAACATTTTTTAAAAATCACGAAATCATACTTCAAGTATTCTTTAATACAAATAAGTTTTAATTTCCAAGAAAATGTTGCCACGTTTTATCATCAAACCGATAGTCACAGTTAGTTTTGAATAATAATTTCAAAACGAGCAAATAAATCGTTTAAAAACTTTATAGGAACATTTTTACATGTATGAAGAATATAATATTAGAAAATGAAATTTTTATCATCGTTTTTTTTATAGTTTGTGAATAATTTATTACCTGTCTCTTTACATAAGATCCTATGTTAAAGTCGCAAAATTCAAAAATTAATAACTTTTAAAAGAGCGAGTAAAAAAATTTGAAATAATTCATGACGATTTGGAATATTATTAAGAATGTTAAATTAAAAATTCACGGCGATCTCATTGTAATATATCTCCAATACATCCTTAAATAATTATATATTCTTAAGGTGACAATTACAATATTAAAAGAAGACTATAATATTGTCGAAATTTAAAATTATTAAATTCTTCTAAGAAGACTATAAATTATTGCGTATATACGAAACAATGAACGCGTTAGTTTAAGGATGTATTGGACGAACCGTCTGTCTCAAAAGTTAATCCAAAGTATCAAAAAATTAAAGTTGGGCAGAATACGAATTCTAATTGATCAAACATTTTTTAAAAATCACGAAATCATACTTCAAAGTATTCTTTAATATAAATAGGTCTTAATTTCTAAGAAAATGTTGCCACGTTTTATCATCATTATTGCATCAAACCGATAATCACAGTTAGTTTTTAATAATAATTTCAAAACGAGCAAGTAAATCGTTTGAAAATTTTGTGGGAACATTTTTACATGTATGAAGAATATAATATTAGAAAATGAAATTTTTATCATCGTTTTTTTTATAGTTTGTGAATAATTTATTACCTGTCTCTTTACATAAGATCCTATGTTAAAGTCGCAAAATTCAAAAATTAATAACTTTTAAAGGAGCGAGTAAAAAAATTTGAAATAATTCATGACGATTTAGAATATTATTAAGAATGTTAAATTAAAAATTCACGGCGATCTCATTGATCGTAATAGATCTCCAATACATCCTTAAATGATTAAAACGAGAAAAATTAAAGACGCCCTCTCGTTGAATTTATACCGCCGCGGGCGGTTTTTCGCGAGGCTGGGCCAATCCGGACGCGCGTGCACGATCGATCCCTCTTCCCTTTCGGAGGAGAATGCGGCGATTCGCGCGGAACAGGATGTCCCGATTCATTTTTCATCGTTAGATCGTCGTCTCCGACTCTTTTCTATCGGCTCCCGCGGCGGGACATGAGGGATGAATCCGCGCATTCTCCCCGGGTGCACGTAAGTGACGTGGCCTCTCTTAGATCGTGTCGGAGCTCGTAAAAGATTCCAGATATTAGCGGAATCTCGACCCGTCTTATCGCGCTCGCCCCCGTCCGGTCCCGTCCTTCAAATCGGACGGATAAGATTGAAACGTGTCTCGCGTCACTCACCCGTTATTAGAGAGCGCATCCCGAGCAAAATAAGGGAAGTCACGGCAATAGTTTGCGTTTTCCCCTTCCACGATTCTTTTCTTATGATTGCGTAATTAAACTTGAAACGGAATGTCTCTCCAATTTCCCCGAAAGATGGCCATCGAGATGAGATCGCGACGTGTTCTCTTCTTCTTCTTTTTTTTTTTTTTTTTTTTTTCGAAAAATGTCCTTGTGTGATTACGCGATTGTGTGATTCTCAATTCGTGTCTTGTACAGGATTTTTATTAGACAAATAAACCTCTCAGACGCGTTAAGGGTAGCATCGAAGAGGGTACAACAAGGCAAGGCTCTGATCACGATATAAGAGCGACCAGTCCGAGTGCCGATTTTGCTCGAAATATCTGCAAAATAATAGTGTATACGGATTAAGGTGGGGGGAACGAGCTAGATGATGGACATTACCTTCCTCGAGCGCGTCGTCGCCGTCGCTCATCAGCTCGTCGTCCGAGCAAATGTTCAGCACGTTCACTAACATTTCTGTGACTGGAAAATCCAAAAATCGCTATTAAATTCTGAACGAAGCACTTGTAAACAACCTTGCAATATTCTTACATGTCTCGAGGTTTATTAGGAATTAATTATCTAAATTATCACGCATTTGAATTTTTCTTATACACAAATTTTTTCGAGATACCCTCTGATCGTCAGAGATATTGCATTAAAAAAGAAATAGATATGAGGGATTAATTTTTTTTACAGATCCTCATGTGCCACCGGCACGACTTACCTTTCTCGCCGACAAACGGCAAGGACCATGTGAAAACGTCCATGAAATTGGGTAGCCAGTAGGGATGTGGCGAACAGTTGAATTGCCTAATATTCATCACGTTGTTCTCGTACTTTAACACCGCCGCCTGCGGGCAATAACGAGCATCGGATTTTTACGATTGCCAGGACAGCAATATACGGTCCCACCACCGGTGGTCGTATATAAACGGACAATGCTCCGCATTTATGCGACCGTTAAATTAATATCGATCGCGACAGGTTGGTGTAGTAGCTTCACGCAGACGCAAAACTGGACTTTTACCTTGTTGTTGTACACATCGAGATAATTGGGCGCGCTGAAGATGGTGATAAGCGATGGGAAGCCCGTCGTCTGAGATTTCCGGTACATACGATATCCAGCGTCCTGAGCCTCGTGCGCCCTTATAATGCTGAGCAAATTGTTGTTTTGCAGAAAGTCGCAACACGCCGCGTAACTGGAAGCAGAAAATTAGGAGTGTCAATAATCATCGCACTGAGAAAAGTCGTTTGATTGTATCAACAAGACAAGTATATGATTGAAGGCATTTTGGAGAAATCAAACAAGAATTTCTAGTTATCACGATCAGACTCGATTTTTTATAACTAGAACGTTTGATAGATTTTACTATAAGGATTTGGTTAGTATTTTCTGGTTGGATCTATCAAATTTCTTGTTACATTAATTTCTTCGCTTGATTCTTAAGAAAGTATTGGAGATATATTATCAATGAGATCGTCGTGAATTTTTAATTTAACATTCTTAATAACATTCTAAATCATCATGAATTATTTCAAATTTTTTTACTCGCTCCTTTAAAAGTTATTAATTTTTGAATTTTGCGATTTTAATATGGGATCTTATGTAAACGTTCAAAAGAAAGGTAATAAATTATTCACAAACTATAAAAAAACGATGATAAAAATTTCATTTTCTAATATTATATTCTTCATAGACGTAAAAATATTCCCACAAAGTTTTCAAACGATTTACTTGCTCGTTTTGAAATTATTATTAAAAACTAACTGTGATTATCGGTTTGACGCAGTATTGATGATAAAACGTGGCAACATTTTCTTGAAAATTAAGACCTATTTATATTAAAGAATACTTTGAAGTATGATTTCGTGATTTTTAAAAAATTTTTGATCAATTAAAATTCGTATTCTGCCCAACTTTAATTTTTTGATACTTTGGATTAAGAGACGGACCGTCTAATACATCCTTAAACTAAAGCGTTCATTGTTTCGTATGTACGCAATAATTTATAGTCTTCTTAGAAGAATTTAATAATTTTCAATTTCAACAATATTATAGTCTTCTTTTAATATTGTAATTGTCACCTTAAGAATATATAATTATTTAAGGATGTATTGGAAATATATTACAATCAATGACATCGTCGTGAATTTTTAATTTAACATTCTTAATAACATTCTAAATCGTCATGAATTATTTCAAATTTTTTTATGCTCCTTTATTTCTTGCTCCTTTAAAAGTTATTAATTTTTGAATTTTGCGATTTTAACATAGGATCTTAGGTAAACGTTTAAGAGACAGGTAATAAATTATTCACAAACTATAAAAAAACGATGATAAAAATTTTATTTTGTAATATTATATTCTTCATAGATGTAAAAATATTCCCACAAAGTTTTCAAACGATTTACTTGCTCGTTTTAAAATTATTATTAAAAATAACTGTGATTATCGGTTTGACGCAATATTGATGATAAAATGTGGCAACATTTTCTTGGAAATTAAGACCTATTTATATTAAAGAATACTTTGAAGTATGATTTAAAAAAATTTTTTTATATTAAAGAATACTTTTGATATTATTGAATTTTTTTTTAGAATTTATTTATATTAAAAATTTAGTATGATTTTTAAAAATTTTGATCAATTAGAATTCGTATTCTGTCCAACTTTAAATTTTTGATACTTTGGATTAACTTTTGAGACAGACGGTCCGTCCAATACATCCTTCATTTAACTCGTATTCAATATTTGCCATGAAATGTATATAAAAACTAGTATTAACATTAAATCCAAAGTATATTTGTTTCTCTTAGAGCAATAGTGCCAGAAAGGATGCTACTATCTGACTGGGTGTGTTTGATTGCATTGTCTTGCATCACTGTTTATCAGTTTAATTTCTAACAAATTGAATTTAAAATAATTTATTCAATATTTGAATAATTAAATTTATCCATTAATCCCGTGTTGGAATTCAGAATATTAAACAGACTTTTGAGATTAGATGGAAAAAATTTTAGACGACTTGGTGCTGGCGAGTTTAGTATTATTAACCAAAAAATTTGATAAATTTGACAGGAAGAAATTATCAGATTCATCTGGTATTTTCTACAAGAATTCTAGTTTGTTCATTTTCCAATAGACATACTGGTTGAATCTACCAGAATTCTAATTAATGAACAGATTTTTTCTCAGTGGTAAACGAAATTATTTCCAAATTATTTATTATCACGTATTATATAATAATTTATTTGTATTAATTACATATTTAACACTTAGATATTTATATAAAGAATATTTGAAGTATGATTTAAAAAAATTTTTTAATAAAAATTTAAATAATAGAATAATTATTTAAAATATATAAAGAATAAAAATTTAAAAAATTTTTGATCAATTAGAATTCGTATTCTGTCCAACTTTAAATTTTTGATACTTTGGATTAACTTTTGAGACAGACGGTCCGTCCAATACATCCTTCATTTAACTCGTATTCAATATTTGCCATGAAATGTATATAAAAAACTAGTATTAACATTAAATCCAAAGTATATTTTGTTTCTCTTACGAGCAATAGTGCCAGAAAGAGGATGCTAGCTATCTGACTGGGTGTGTTTGAGTTGCATTGTCTTGCATCACTGTTTATCAGTTTAATTTCTAACAAATTGAATTTAAAATAATTTATTCAATAATTTGAATAATTAAATTTATCCATTAATCCCGTGTTGGAATTCAGAATATTAAACAGACTTTTGAGATTAGATGGAAAAAATTTTAGACGACTTGGTGCTGGCGAGTTTAGTATTATTAACCAAAAAATTTGATAAATTTGACAGGAAGAAATTAATCAGATTCATCTGGTATTTTCTACAAGAATTCTAGTTTGTTCATTTTCCAATAGACATACTGGTTGAATCTACCAGAATTCTAATTAATGCAACCAGATTTTTTTCTCAGTGCGTAAACGAATTTTCCAATTATTATACACGTATATATAATAATTTAGTTGTATTAATCCCTCTATTTAACACTCTAGTATTTTAATAAATAATTTGAAAAGTGCTATAAAAAAATCTGGTTTAAAAAATTTACAATCAAGTAGATACCACAATTTTGGAGGCAAATTATCCGATAAAATTAATATAAAATAAATGTGTCTCATAAATATTCGTATAACACAGATTGTGAAAATTAATAAACATTTATTTGGGGAAAGCGTGCACCGCAAAATCGTGACCTAAATAACGTCGTAATGCTCTTTTGGCACTCGCATCGAAAACAATTATTCGACTGCCAAATAATCAATCTTAATTTGCCGAAATACATAACAACTGTGCAATTTCGTTAATGTCACAGTACGAATCTGCAATTGTACGTTGGAACGTTAAACATTTAAGTAAGTATTGTCAATTTATTTCGCGACAGTAAACTGTAAACCTCGCTTTCAATTTGCCAAATTCATCATAGTTCGAATTTTTCAGGCTTTCGATCGCTGTCAACCGGACATTGGATGACGGACGGTCGTGTCACACGGTCTCGTGCGGGTTCGCATAAACAAATTAAGCCCTGAAAGACGTCAACAGGACGACCCTTTTCGCGCTGCCATAACTGACCTGACCGAGCATCGTGAGAAATGTTTGCCCCGCGTCGCGGCAGGATCATTAGCAGCCATTAAGAGCCGTTCGCAGCGTCGACAAAGATTAATGACAAGATGAAATCTCTCGAAAACCGTATGGTCGGTATCGATCCTCCAAGTCGACGTATACCCACGCATTTCAGGATGCGTGACGATAAAATACAACGTGTTTCGCTCGGTTGGCTCGTCAAAAACGTACGTATAAGTCGCTCGGAGTCGTTAAGGGAAACCTCCTTCACGAGTCGGGCGCGAGTAGCGCGAGTCAGGATACGGTCGGACGACCGGCGGGTGATTACAGTAGCTAGACTACTTGCATACTGCTCGAGACGCGGGGGTGATTTATGTTCGCGTGAAACTTAATGCACCTATCCTTGTACCTATCCTTGGCCGAAACACGATAATGCGAGAATCGAAAATGAGAAATTAACCGAGCGGGCAAGGTAAGGCAAGGTAAGAGAGTTAACGCCTCACCCACAACGTCTTCATAACGGCCATTATTATCCTATCGCGATCGCGATCATTTGCGCCGACGTGTATATTAATCAACACAGCTCTCTCTCTTGATTATTAAAATTACTTTCCTAAAACATCCACGCCATATCTGCTGAAGAAACACCCGAGTGCAGTCTAATCCTACGTGAAAAATTAACTGCATCATGAAATAAAAATGGCATTTATAAGTATATTCAATATCGATCCCTGCAATGAGAAAAAAATCTGGTTGCATTAATTAGAATTCTGGTAGATTCGACCAGTATGTCTGTTGGAAAATGGACGAACCAGAATTCTTGTAGAAATTACCAGATGAATCTGATTAATTTCTTCCTGTTCAATTTATTAAATTTTCTGATTAATAATATTGAACTCACTAGCATCAAGTCGTCTAAAATTTTTTCCATCTAATCTCAAAAGTCTGTTTAATATTTTGAATTTCAACAAGATTATTGGATAAATTCAATCCAGATTATTGAATAAATTATTTTAAATTCAGTTTGTTAGAAATTAAACTGATAAACAGTCATGCAAGAAGAGGATGAAGCTCAAACACACACAATCAGAGAGCTAGCGTCCTCTTTCTAGCATTACTGCTCGTACGAGAAAAAAAAATATACTTTGGATTTAATGTTAATACTAGTTTTTTATATACATTTTATGACAAATATTGAATACGAGTTAAGTTAAGAAGCAAGCAAAGAAATTAATGTAACAAGAAATTTTATAGATCCAACCAGAAAATACTAATCAAATCCTTATAATAAAAGCTATTAAACATTCTAGTTATAAAAAATCGAGTTATCATGATAACTAGAAATTCTTGTTTGATTTAACCAAAATGTCTTCAATCATATACGTTGGTACAATCTTGTTGGTACAATCAAACGATTTTTCTCAGTGTATTTCCTCTCTATTGGATAACTTGTACTCTGAAGGATTAAGATACTGGAATTTTCAATTTATCACGTTCTGCCTCGCAAACAATACACGCGCGATAAACAAGCGGGCAGGAAACGGACGAGCAGACGAGACGGTTGACACTTAACGAATCTCGGTGCTCATTAGCACGGTCATTCGTACAATTAGCGGGTCTCTGAGAGAAGCTGTAGCACCTGCGGTTTGCTGACGCTGTCGTATTACACGGCCGTTATTAATCCTCGCGTAGGACAAACCGCGGACGTGTCCACGGACGCTGACGTAGGGTGACCCGACGAGGGAGCGTGACACATGTAGGAAGATCTCAGAACTCGGAAGAGAAAGAGAGAGAGAGAGAAAGTCAAAGTTACTTCGTTTCACGCTATGTGATCGCGTGGGCTGCACCCAACGTGCTTCCGGTTGCCGCTCGAGACAAACGGCGAGATAATTACCTCCCTCGTGAAGCAGAGGAAGAGGAAGGGAACGGACAGCTGGAAGGGAAAAGCGAAAAAATCGAGTCCGATGACAACTGCGAGATATATCGCGCAAGCATATCGTATTTCCACGTGGCAAGAGGCGAAAGGAAATCTGGCCACTGCGCTCGGATGGCGAGAGACCTCGTTTCTCTCTTTTTTTCTCCGGCTAATACGATCTTTTATTGTTACATTAACGCGCCGTGATAAACCGACACTGGGTATATCGATGTGTCTCTGTTAATAACGAGTATCGCGCAAATGCATTTTTTTAAAAATCATTTTTTAATATTTTCCGTCAGAAAATTCTATTTCCAAAACGAGTATTATAATTCGTGTAGGTTTGTATACTCGATTGTATTTTTTTATAATTGATAAATAAAAGAAAGGTTTTTTTTTTGGAAAAAAACGTGTACGAGTAATTTTTCTGATTTTTTTAGCTCAATTCTGAATGGAAACACTCATGGTTTTTGAATTTAATAAAAGGAAATTAAAGATAAAGAGTCTTTTAAAAATATTGACCAAGCTTCAAAGAAAGAATCAGATACAATAAAATCATATTCTTCGATTAATTTCTACTAAATACACTAATAAATATCATACAATAAAATAAATTGGAGAAAACTGGACATTGTCGGTCGGAAAAATCGATCCTACCCCAAAGTTTGTACTCTCTAAAAGTGAATCAGTGAAAATATCATTAATTTAAACAGCAAAATAAGATTTCACTGAGAATCAGTGAGTATTTTACTGATCTTCGGTGGAAATGCTTATTTTTTTGTTATTTTATCTTATATCTCATTGATTATGGTCAGTTAAAATAAAATTCACTGTAAAATCAATAAATTTTACTGTAAAACCAGTAATAATCGCTAGTTCGTTCATTCACCACTACAATTGCTATCTCTCTATTTAATTTTAGTTATAAGAATTATATAAAGTTTGCAAAGAGCGACATTAAAAATTAGAAGTATTACTTCGATTTAATTTCTCATACAAGCTCAATAGAGAGGCTTCAGATATTAAATCGATCTTTATAAGTCGGACAAATAAATGTCTGGCGACTTAATAAAAATTATTTGTTCGTTATCTATTTAAAATAACAAGTTCAATATGCATGTAATATAAATAAAATAAAATTTTTAATATAATAAATATTTAGTAAATATAAATAAAATTTTTAATTTTATATGAAATAGATAAAGAGATGAATTCTAGTTAAATATTACTGACAATAACGAAAGAAATATTATTGATATTGAGAAATATTACTGATTGAAACAGTCAAAATTATTAACCGATTCTTTCAATAAAATATCACTGATTTACAGTGCTGTACTTATAACTGCTGTAATCAGTGACTATTTACTGTTTTTCAGTGATAATATCACTAATTTAAACAGTAAAATAAGATTTCATTGAGAATCAGTGAGTATTTTACTGATCTTCAGTGGAAACGCTTATTTTTTGTTATTTTATCTTATATCTCACTGATTATGGTCAGTTAAAATAAAATACACTGTAAAATCAGTAAATTTTACTTTAAAACCAGTAATCGCTAGTTCGTTCATTTACAATCGCTATCTCTCTTGTATTTAATTTTAGTTACAAGAATTATATAAAGTTTGCAAAGAGCGACATTTAAAATTAGAAGTATTACTTCGATTTAATTTCTGATACAATCTCAATAGAGAGGCTTCAGATATTAAATCGATCTTTATAAGTCGGACAAATAAATGTCTGGCGACTTAATAAAAATTATTCGTTCGTTATCTATTTAAAATAACAAGTTCAATATGCATGTAATATAAATAAAATAAAATTTTTAATATAATAAATATTTAGTAAATATAAATAAAATTTTTAATTTTATATGAAATAGATAAAGAGATGAATTCTAGTTAAATATTACTGACAATAACGAAAGAAATATTACTGATATTGAGAAATATTACTGATTGAAACAGTCAAAATTATTAACCGATTCTTTCAATAAAATATCACTGATTTACAGTGCTGTACTTATAACTGCTGTAATCAGTGACTATTTACTGTTTTCCAGTGATAATACGCTGATTCACTTTTAGAGAGTATTGTCAAGTTAACATATTGAAGGCAAACTCTCTCTCAGAGACCACGTCACTCACCTGTAAAAGTATGAACAACCCCTGACGCTATTGTGGGAGAAATGCTCCGCATTCTTCTCGTTGCCAAAGTCCTCGAGGGGATCCGACCAGAGGAGATCGCACATCGGCCCGAACGCCGGCGGCTCTTTGAACCTGTCCAACTGAAACAGCAAGTCAATCGAATTAGCCCAAGGATTTAACTGACAGCGCAATGGATTGTTCGCGCGGTCGCGCGCAAATACGCCGTAATTTTCGGCGTAATTGTACGAGCCATTGTCGATTTTAGCGAATTCGCAGTGGTTTGGTCAGTTGGATTACGCTTTGACCGATCCTCTATTCAGTGGCTTAATCAGTTATGTTGCGCGTGAAATTTTAATCATTCTGTCTCCCTCTCGATTTTATTCCTTGATCATCTCGTGAACTGTCAGAATCAAAATCACGATAAAGTCGTCCAACTGTCGCGCTCGATTCCTCCATGCTCGAGAGAAATGTGTCTCAATATGTCGAAATTTAAAATTAAATTGTAATTTGACAGTGATTGGTGCGTGGCAGTGTCGACATGCGGATCGAGCAGCGACAGAGTCTCGAGGGGAGACAATTCTGATGCGAGTTTACGTGTTATGACAGCGCCGAACGAAGTGCGTGTAAGCCGGATCGTTTGGCAGATTGCATTAATCAGGCCACGATATCTGACAATGTGCTCACCGCGGATTTCTAAATGCCTGTCGGCTCCTATTAATTGATCGCCAAGCTTTGAAATTCAATATTTGACATCGTCAAGATGACGAAGCCAAATTCTATCACGATGATTCTATTTCAGAGAGTGACGACGTATTATTTTTCCAACGTATAAAATTTTATGTTGAACAGGATGTTTGTTGAAATTTTATATAAAATATTTCCTGCCCCTAACTTTTGTTGAAAAAAATTCCAGGTAAAGATAATATTTTAAGGATACTTTTAATGTAATTTTTCGCATAATTTTTTAAAATAAGTTTTCTTCACATGCATTGTCTAATGTTTTTCATTCATATAAAAGAAAAATACACAAGAGCCATTTATTTTTCAAGTGCGAGATTTGCAAATGTATTGGAAAAATTGAATAGTTTTCGTAAAGTAATTTTTCACTTGTAATAATATTTTCATTTTTTATCATTAAAATTATAAAGAATACTGTATATTTAAGATTTTTGTTAAAAACGTAGAATAAGAGAGAAACAGATAAATATTCATATTTTAATCACATAATTCACAACTTGGCGGACTGCCAATGTCGACTGCTTACAATACAACAGCAAAATGATCAAAGAGAGAACTTTTTTAAAAATTCCCTAAATTCTACAGTAAAATTCCAGGTTTCCCAGAAAATAAATGTTTTTCAGAAAATAAACACTCTGCTTAATGTCATAAAAAACAGTCATACACTGAGTAAAAATCGTTTGATTGTACCAACAAGACGTATATGATTGAAGGCATTTTGGTTAAATCAAACAAGAATTTCTAGTTATCATAATAAGACTCGATTTTTTCTAACTAGAACGTTTAATAGATTTTACTTCTTTAATAGATTTTACTTTCTGGTTGGAACTATCAAATTTCTTGTTACACTAATTTGGAAAGAAAAAAACGAGGATTAAGGATCGCGTTAAGGATGTATTGGACGAACCGTCTGTCTCAAAAGTTAATCCAAAGTACCAAAAAATCAACGTTGGGCAGAATACGAATTCTAATTGATCAAACATTTTTTAAAAATCACGAAATCATACTTCAAAATATTCTTTAATATAAATAGGTCTTAACTTCCAAGAAAATATTGCCACGTTTTATCATCAATATTCCGTCAAACCGATAATCACAGTTATTTTTTAATAATAATTTCAAAACGAGCAAGTAAATCGTTTTAAAACTTTGTGGGAATATTTTTACATCTATGAAGAATATAATATTAGAAAATGAAATTTTTATCATTGTTTTTTTATAGTTTGTGAATAATTGATTAGCTGTCTCTTGAACGTTTACCTAAGATCCTATGTTAAAATCGCAAAATTCAAAAATTAATAACTTTTAAAGGAGCAAGTAAAACAATTTGAAATAATTCATGACGATTTAGAATGTTATTAAGAATGTTAAATTAAAAATTCACGGCGATCTCATTGATTATAATATATCTCCAATACATCCTCAAATAATTATATATTCTTAAGGTGACAATTACAATATTAAAAGAAGACTATAATATTGTTGAAATTTAAAATTATTAAATTCTTCTAAGAAGACTATAAATTACTGCATATATACGAAACAATGAACGCGTTAGTTTAAGGATGTATTGGAACCGTCTGTCTCAAAAGTTAATCCAAAGTACCAAAAAATCAAAGTTGGGCAGAATACGAATTCTAATTGATCAAACATTTTTTAAAAATCACGAAATCATACTTCAAAGTATTCTTTAATATAAATAGGTCTTAATTTCCAAGAAAATATTGCCACGTTTTATCATCAATATTGCATCAAACTGATAATCACAGTTATTTTTTAATAATAATTTCAAAACGAGCAAATAAATCGTTTGAAAACTTTGTGGGAACATTTTTACATGTATGAAGAATAAAATATTACAAAATGAAATTTTTATCATCGTTTTTTTATAGTTTGTGAATAATTTATTACCTGTCTCTTAAACGTTTACCTAAGATCCTATGTTAAAATCGCAAAATTAAAAAATTAATAACTTTTAAAGGAGCAAGTAAAACAATTTGAAATAATTAATGACGATTTAGAATGTTATTAAGAATGTTAAATTAAAAATTCACGGCGATCTCATTGATTATAATATATCTCCAATACATCTTTAATGCAACCAGATTTTTTTCTCAGTGTATGCACATCTGTATAATCCTTAAGTACGTTGAGTTTTGCAAAACGACTATTTAAGTGAGAGACGAGAGCTGGACGGACCGAGTTACTCCCGAGCTATGAAACACCCACAAAACTCACTCGGTAAGGATTTATTCCCGGCTCGTGCCGAGTCGAGCCACTCCCCTCGAATCGATGTAAAGGCTTGAAAACTTGGACGGCCAAGTTTCGCCGTGTCTACCGACGAGTTCCCGAGTGAAGTGGATATCGAAGTCTCGGGGAAGAGCACGCAAAGACAGACGCCGCAGACGAGGGCCCTCAAATATTTGTTCCGTTGATCTAATCTCGCCGAGGAAAGTCTGCCGCGCGGTCCCACATCTATCCGTCAGCCGCCTTCGGGAATCGCGTTTAATGACTTTCATGAATATGAATGATTCGGGAGGAGGAGGGAGGATATTTCGCGCAACGAAACGTCTCGCTATGGCAAACATTCAGCTCTTCCCTTCGAGATGCAATCAACGCTGATAAAATATTGAGAGCGAAGATTGAGATTTTGTTTACGTTATTCATACGCTTCATTTCTTCTCGTCGTTGCAGCAACGTTGGACTTTGGCGAAAATTTTATACGAATGCGTGTGCAATATTACGCAAGTCTGCATACATCTTTGAAAATACATACAAAAGGAACATAAGATATTTATATTTATTTTGCAGATTTTCTCGTTTTTTTTTCATAAAGCGATTTCTCAATTTGATTTCGCAATATGTGCAAATCGTTTGCGAGTCGATACACCGTGAAATTCTTTCGCTCGGTTTTTATTAAAATATTTTTAAATTTCCACGTGCGATACTCGCGTGAAATAATACCGCACGATCGTGCAATGAAAATAATCCCAAACGAGAGGATTAAAACCGATTTTAAGCAATGAGTTCACTCAAATATTTAATCGAAATAAATAACATATGGTATCGAGAGAGAGAGATGCACAATGAATTTTATAAACGCAGGATGACAATATTCACGAAATATTATTCGCAATACGTTATCTTAAACTTCAATCATAATAAAGATAAATCTAATTTTCGACCTCACATCATAAACAAATAATAGACAAAAGAATTAAAATCTTTCTCCTTCTATTTATCAAACATACTAATTATTAATTACATGGAATAGCTTAAAGAAATTATTTTGCATAATTTATATTAAAAAAAAAATTCAATCTTTTTTCTTTATTCTCTCCCATAGACAAAAGGGTTAAAATCTTTCTCCTTCTATTTGTCTAACAAATTAATTATTAATGACATGGAATAACTTATATAAATTATTTTGCGTAATTTATATTTTTTGAAAAAAAAATTCAATCTTTTTTCTTTATTCTCTCCCATAGACAAAAGGATCTTTCTCCTTCTATTTATCTAACAAACTAATTATTAATTACATGGAATAGTTTAAAGAAATTATTTTGCATAACTTATATTCAAAAAAAATTCAATCTTTCTTCTTTATTCTCTCCCATAGACAAAAGGATTAAAATCTTTCTCCTTCTATTTGTCTAACAAACTAATTATTAATTACGTGGAATAAACTTATATAAATTATTTTGCATAATTTATATTTTTTGAAAAAAAAATTCAATCTTTTTTCTTTATTCTCTCCCATAGACAAAAGGATCTTTCTCCTTCCATTTTTAACAAATTAATTATTAATACATGGAATAACTTATATAAATTATTTGCTAATTATATTTTTAAAAAAAATCAATCTTTTTCTTTATTCTCTCCATAGACAAATCTTTCTATTTATCTCATAATTAATAATATTTCATATTTTTTTTTTTTTCTTTTTTCTTTATTCTCTCCCATAGACAAAAGGATCTTTCTCCTTCCATTTATATAACAAACTAATTATTAATTACACGGAATAGCTTAAAGAAATTATTTTGCATAACTTATATTAAAAAAAAATTCAATCTTTCTTCTTTATTCTCTCCAATAGACAAAAGGATTAAGATCTTTCTCCTTCTATTTGTAAACATACTAATTATTAATTACGTGGAATAAACTTGTAAAAATTATTCTGCATAATTTATATTTTTTGAAAGATAATAAAAAATTCCAATTCTTTTTTCTTTATTCTCCCCCATTTTTGAATCTCCGCGGTATTATCAACGTGTTCGATAACACATCGGATTCCACGAATACCTGATCCCAAGTTTATTGCACGTGATCTTGATGCGAGTGACATGTAACAGGTTGCGTAATTACGTTGAATGGGTCGCATTAGTTCGCGACCCGCTTCCGC